TCAAAGGAGTGAAGGATGCCGAGGAAGGTCAGTTCTATACGAGAGTATTCCCACCCATAAATCCGGCGGGAGAATGCAGGTAAATAGTGAAAGCCAAACGATGGATCTGACAGGAGACCTCGAGAGTGCGACCGTCCAAAACTCTGTAACAAACATAGAGTGGACGGTGGCGCAGAACGTTTTAGTGTACCCGGGATTGATAAGACGCTAAGAGAATTGAGCGTACTATCAAGGCAACTAAAGCACTCCCCGATGACGATCACGTGTGGCGAAGTTATCTTCGATGATCATATGAAGTTAACTCAGACCTATCTGAATACAGGGCATACACCTATACACCCAGTATACACATAGGGCCGTAATAGTGAATCTAGTTGCACATGAACAGACCTTATAAGGCGCATACAGTGCATGCACCCATACACCCAGTATAGGCATAGGGCCGTATTAGTGTATCTAGTTGCACATCAGAACAGACCTTATAAGGCACATACAGTGAATACACCCATACACCAGTATACACATAGGGCCGTATTAATGTATCTAGTTGCACATGAACAGACCTTATAAGGCACATACAGTGCATGCACCCATACACCCAGTATGGGCATAGAGCCGTATTAGTGTATCTAGTTGCGCATGAACAGACCTTACAAGGCACATATATGTGAGAGTGGTGAGCGAGCCTACATGAGCCGCCTAAACTCCCACGTCCGAATAATCTTATGCGTAGGGCACTTACATCTAGTATAGCGTCGTGTACATAGGCCGAGGGGAATCTCGCGAGTGCTTCAATGGCCAGTTTCTGCGCGTACGGGTCGCGGTCATACTGCATCTGGTAGATCCACATGTAGTCTGCCGGCAGATCCTCGTGCTCAAACACAACCTGTCGCAACCAGAAGAACTCGGGATCAAAGCGCACGAACAGGATGGGCGTATCGGCCCTGTATGTGTTAAGTGTGGCAAGGCAGAAAGCGCCGGATGGATTAGGAGTGAGAGAGATCGGATACTGTTTTGTTAGTGTTGTATAGGCAACAGGATTTGTATTTGATAGACTAGGTAGTGGACTTTGGGAAGTAAATAGGCAGGCCCACTTAATTGGTGACAAGAACTGTGCCTAGAGTATATCTGACAAACCAAAGGAATCTGACCGAACGAAAGCCCTCGAATTCACACGTGTGTATATTCCAAATAACTGATTTCGTCGAACAAAATGCAACTGCTGTCGATCTGAACAGTTGGGGTTCTTTTCAGTCACAACTCGAGTGCAAACAGAGACACACCGACCGCAACAGCAAAAAAATATATATATCGAATAGCACAACACTTGATCAAAACCCTAAACCCTGTGTGGTCAGCGTAAACCGTGGCACACGGACTGCAACAGCACCAACCCAATGGCATAACATCTCGAAGACTTGGGAATGAATGTGGCCCACTTACTGATCCAGAAACTCGATGTCTGTCTCCTCTCCGGTGGGTAATCGCACTTTACGTTTTCGGGCCCTACGGAACTGTGGGAATTGGCAAACGCGGGGTGAGAGAGAATCATTTAGTTCCCGAGCGACGGATAGAAAGCTCGAACACTGCTAGGCATGTAGCTATTCGTCACCAGGGGATGTAAACCTGGTTTCAACACAGCCATAGCTCTGCTAAGCAAGTAGCTATTCGTCACCGGAAATATAAACCTGGCTTAAATATAACCATAGCGCTGCTAGGCATGTAGCTATTCGTCACCAGGAGATATAACCCTAATTTAAATACAACCATAACTCTGTTGGGCATGTAGCTATTCGTCACCAAGGGATGTAAACCTGGTTTAAATACAACCGGGGCTCCTCAAGTACACCAGGTATGTATTCGGCCTTATAAAAACATGTGTTATGAGCATTTTCGACCCGGCCGAGGTTCACGGTAATCAAGGGCTAGTCCCAGGTGTAGTAATTCATGTACGTATTTAAAATTGCTATAAAACAAATGAAAGTAAAATCGAACCATGTATGTACAGGAACAAAGTACTAGAACCATCTCCCTCATATGCGAAAGTACGGCGACAGAACATGCATACAGGACGAGACAACACATACATACCTTGGAACGGCAGGTGAAATCCTGCTTGTGGATTGTGTCCTCTATGTGCATGTCGTGTGTGGTGTAGCCGTCCATCTCCTGCACCCGTATTCGCACTGGGCCCTGTCAGTAGAGGGCAGTAGTAGTAAACGCATTAGCATAACGCACACAATCTCAGGCGATGACAGATACACATCTCATATGAATATCAAGCACAAGGCAGTAGTAGTAAACGCATTAGCATAACGCACACAATCTCAGGCGATGACAGACACACATCGCATATGAATATCAAGCAGGTACAATAGAGCTTTGACTACAACTATAGAGCAAGTGTGACGCCCGAGATCAGGCTGTTTTATATGTAACGCTGTTTTGATCAGGCTGTTCATCCTACACACGTGCTTTCAAACATTGATACACATGCGTGCGATATGCAGCAACACGGCAGATGTGCGAGCTGTTCTATTTGAACGTATCCACGTAATATTAACTACTACTGGCGAATGTATCAGTGTAATATAAACTACTACTAGATGTACGATCAATGTAATATCAACTACTACTAGCGAATGTATCAGTGAAATATTAACTACTACTAGATATGCGATCAGTGCCCTCCACATTAACATATCCTATTTTCTTAAGCCCCGGATTGAGAGGTACAGGGAATGAAGCAGCGACAAGTAATGTACAGCCTATGCTACTGCAACTAATGTACAGCATATACTACTGCAACTAATGTACAGCATAGGCTACTGCAACTAATGTACAGCATAGGTTCTGCAAAGTAATGTACAGCGTAGGCTACTGCAACTAATGTACAGCATAGGCTACTGCAAGTAATGTAAAACATAGGCTACTGCAAGTAATGTACAGCATAGGCTACTGTAACTAATGTACAGCGAAGGCTACTGCAAGTAATGTACAGCGTAGGCGACTGCAAGTAATGTAAAACATAGGCTACTGTAAGTAATGTACAGCATAGGCTACTGCAACTAATGTACAGCATAGGCTACTGCAAGTAATGTACAGCGTAGGCTACTGCAACTAATGTACAGCATAGACTACTGCAACTGATGTACAGCGTAGGCGACTGCAAGTAATGTACAACATAGGTTGTGGAAGTAATGTACAGCGTAGGCTACTGCAACTAATGTACAGCATAGGCTACTGCAACTAATGTACAGCATAGGCTACTGCAAGAATGATCAGCATAGGTACTGCAATTAATGTACAGCATAGGCTACTGCCAGCAATGTACAGCATAGGCTACTGCAAGTAATGTACAGCGTAGGCTACTGCAAGTAATGTACAGCATAGGCTACTGCAAGTAATGTACAGTATAGGCTACTGCAAGTAATGTACAGCGTAGGCTACTGCAACTAATGTACAGCATAGGCTACTGCAACTGATGTACAGCGTAGGCTACTGCAAGTAATGTACAACATAGGTTGTGGAAGTAATGTACAGCGTAGGCTACTGCAAGTAATGTACAGCATAGGCTACTGCAAGTAATGTACAGCGTAGGCTACTGTAATTAATGTACACCATAGGCTACTGCAACTAATGTACACCATAGGCTACTACAAGTAATGTACAGCGTAGACTACTGCAGGTAATGTAAAGCATAGGCTACTGCAAGTAATGTACAGCATAGACTACTGCAAGTAATGTACAGCGCAGGCTACTGCAAGTAATGTACAGCATAGGCTACTGCAAGTAGTGTACATCATAGGCTACTGCAACAAGACGCACATGTAGCGACTCTCCGCATTAGTACTGGCGCGTTCGCTCTTAGTCAGAGTCATCGTAAGCACAAACACGGGTACGAGGCACTCGCCTATACACCTGTCCATGTGGCTATGCTGCCGATTTTCGATACTCTTTGACACATCACACACAGTGCTGATGGGTACTGATAACCCGATACAAGTACAACTGGGTCATGCCGATTGGCCTTGGTACAAATAAGACAGACCAGGTTACGCTATGTAATACTTACCGAGAACTTGGTACAAATAAGACAGACGAGGTTACGCTATATAATATTTACCGAGAACTTGGTACAAATATGACAGACCTGGTTACGCTATGTAATACCTACCGAGAACTTGGTACCAGGCGGTAGTCCTATAGCCGTCTGGCGCAGCGCAAATTCGATGGACGACCTTTTGCGGTTGAATTTGAAATTGACGTGGAATCGCACACAACCCGCTCTGTAGTCAAACCACGCAGAATGGGTTGACATGACGGCACATCCTCTATACATGCAGTGCATGTGGTCTCGTATATAGTGCGCCTATGATATCCCAGTAGCGTACCTACATTATACCTACATTTTACCTACATCGAACTTAGATCTTATCTACATCTGGCGTACATCTGCCGTACCCCACTGCTTGTTGTCTGTTATTTGTCAACAGTCGGCAAACGCGAAGGCTTGCCAGACTACTAAAAGTCCACGGACACCCCAGTTCTTAACACACGCATGGCCTATACTTCGTTTGGTAGAGCGCAGGTCAACGTCCAAGTGATACAATCTGCGAGTCAGCATAGTTCACTACCAACTCCATATTTAACTAAATACATACATACATACATATATACATACATATA